TCTTCCCTTCCCGCCTGCAGCGTCTCCCGCATCCCGACGTGCTTCTCGCCGGCCGGACCGTGAGAGCGACCGACGCCCCGGCGCTGCCGTGACTCCCGAAGCTTTTCCCAACCGCCGCGCGGAGCGGCGGGAGGAACTCGTCTGATATGAAAACGGTACTTTTGAATTTAATGATTTCGTAATAAAAACGCGGGCTTGGCGTCCCGGGGCTCTCACCGAGGCACTTTGTTCGGGCAGCTCGGTCCGGCTGAGGGACAGAGCTGTGCCAAGAGGGGCTGTAAAGGCACACATTTCTTACCTGTTCACTAAAAACGAGTTGTGTGTTTTGGTTTTTGTTTCCCCCAAAACCGAACCCTGTGTCTAAGTCAGAATCGCAGTTTCAGGGTATAATGTCTTATTTCTTATGTGTCTCAACATTTTACCAGCACTTTGTTGTTTGAGGTGGGCTTGGCTCTGTGGTTTGGAAATCCTGGTTTTGGAGCAGCTGTTTCTGTGCAAATGCAGAACTCCTTTTGTGTTTTGTTTCTTTAGCATGTGTAAGAGGCAGGATATATTTAAATTCTGATATCATGTACATTGTTCTGGATTAAAAATACCTTTGGGAGATCCTTCCAGGTCTCAGAAGTAACTAACTTTTCTTCCTGAACTGAATAATAACTTGTACCAGGCCTCAGATAATACAATAACTTGTACTTCAAATCCTTATGTTTGTTGTTTGAGTTTTCTGGCACAAGTAGAGAAGGCAATTACCATGTCCAGTCTGATTTTCCCAGTTGTTCTGAATTCCTTTAGATTTTGTGTCTCTCTACATCCATCTAAAGCATTCACTGCTGCAGGTGCTGCTGAATTCCTTATAGTATTCCTGTGGAAAGATGTATGGCTAAATCTCCAGCCTCCTTTTTTCCAAGTATTCCCAAAGCAGAACTGGAAGAAGGGGCTCCGAAAGAAGCTTTTCTCTTATTAAGAGTGGACTTTTCCCCTCACTTCATGTTTAAATGGCAGAAATAGCACTTTATGTTGACACAGGGGGTGGGATTTTTGTTTTTTGAAGGATGTCCTGCAGATCATCTGCCAAAGCTCCCACTCAGGAAGTCTCTCCAGTGTAAGAATGTATGTTGCTCACCCAGTTACTGACAAGCACTGAACTGGAACCATTGTGCCCTAAATTTGAACCTTGCCCTTGTTCATCTGTTCATTCTCTTCTGATTTATTGTCAGAGGTGTAATCTTACCTCTGCACTTGCACATCCAGATTCAGGAGTGACAGTGTGACAGAAAATCTAAACCAATTTGCTTCTCTGCCCCTCTGGCATAAGGGAAATGAGCTGTTAAGGTTTTGTGAAGCCTTAAAGTTTGGTTGCTTTGTTGGTGTACGTGTCATGAACAATTTCTTTTAGAGTGTTTGTAAGGTTTGAACTGTTTTCCAGCTGGAATTTGCAGTTCATAGTCTCTGCTGTCCTTGGAATTTTTGTATATGCAACAAAACTCTGAAGTGGGTGCTGCAGCTGCCTTCAGTCATTGATTTGTCATTGAATTGTTGATTTTTTTTTCTACCAAAATCACATTTACAAAAGCATAACCTCCCTTTCTTACTCGCCCTTCTAAGTGAGGGGGGAAAAAATTCTTAAAGCTGTTCTGTTGCAAATATTTTGTAGCACTTATGGAAACCTAAAGAATGGGAAGTTGCAGAGAGCTTAGAACTATATAAAAGATGATACAGTTGCAATTCTTGGAAGTATATGGCAGTCATACTGAATGAGGAACAAGTCAACACTTTTTGGAGTTTTCAAATGAGATTCCTTTCTGCTTATATATGTTTTGTAAAGTAACTTCTTGATGCTCACAGTAACTTAGAGATATTTAATGTAAAAAACACACTCACACACACGAGTAAGGGAAATACATTTATAAGTAACAATATGTAAGCTTGTAGATGATAATAATGATGATAATGTATTTGTATTGTTTTTTGCATGTTATATTTGAAATTCAAAAGCTCTCTGTGGGGGAAGGAATTTATTGAGGTTTTAGACAGGGATTGGCATCTCGAGTTTGTCAGAAATGTGGATGTTCTGAACTTGTTGTGTGTCAAAGCCAGTAAACTTTTCAGGCCTCCTTTGGGCTGCCTTGCAGGTGTCTCAGTTTATCTTGCTGACTTGCTGTGTTCCTGTAATCACTCAAATTGTGTCTGTGCCTTTGTTGTGTGCAGATGACGGGATCAAATGAGTTCAAACTAAACCAAACTCCAGATGATGGTATTTCATCGGTGAAGTTCAGTCCAAATACATCTCAGTTCCTGCTTGTTTCCTCCTGGGACGCCACTGTTCGGCTCTATGATGTGCCTGCCAACACCATGAGACTCAAATATCAGCATTCAGGAGCTGTCCTGGACTGTGCTTTTTATGTAAGTGTGGGAGGTTATTTTTAATTATTATTTTACAGACACATAGTGCCCACGGTATGAGAAACTGCCACTCCCTGAAGTTAAAGAGGAGGAAAATGCAACCTGAAATGTGGGCTAAAAAATATAGTTTACTGCTGCCAATTAACTCCTTATTTAATGAGCATCTTTCTAGTCCTAAATGCAGGGGTTGCCTGTGAAGGTGCAGGCACACAAGCAACTTGCTCCTGGTACAAGTGGGATACAAAAGTAATTGAAGCTGATTTGTGCTGTTTCTGGAATGGTGTGCTGAACTGTGTGTGTGTTCCCCACAAAGAGTTGTACTGGGAGGATACAGCCAGAAATCCTTACCCACAATAAATGCCCAGAGCCAATTAGTATTTTCTTTTTAACCTTCCCACACTGGGTTGTACTGAAAACATGGCATTGTTCCAAGTGAGACATTTATTAGGTCCTTGGTTTCTATATTTTTTAATGCTCTGGGTTTGAAGTGTGCCTCAAAATGGTTTCACTTTCTAGGTGCCACTTTTTTGTTTTGCCTTTTTTTGGTATAACATATGAAGTAGAAGGTTTCAATTATCACTTTTTGGCATTGCATTCTGACATATAATTTAGTGATGTGATCTCAGTGTGTTACTGAATGTTTTAAATTTTGGACTCTACTTATGCTTTTTTTTACTGAACATTTTGCCACACTGTACTGAGGATAAACACTCAAATTCTCAATAAGAATAAATATTATGTGCTTTCCTCTTACAGAAGTGGAAATGATTTATTAGAGCCTCTAACTACCTTTTTATTTATTTTTTTTTGTTTTAGTTTTACTTTTAAACTTAAAAAAATTCATGTAGCTCAAAGCACTTAAACATTTTGCAAAGTTTCTGTTGTCTGCCTGTTTAAATCTGGGCCAGATCTTAACCCTTGTGTCTCAATTCCCATCTTCCCAAAACTCTGGAAAGTGAGTTCTTTGCTATGAACCTAGGAAAGGAAATGTATTTAGCAGCCGTGGAAAATTAATGCAATGTCCTAAGGTGAAATTTTATGCTTTATAGGATCCTACCCATGCCTGGAGTGGAGGGCTGGATCAGCAACTGAAAATGCACGATTTAAACACAGACCAAGGTGAGCAGGCTGAGTTCTGAATGGTCTCAACAGCTGGGCTAAGCTTCAG